GTGTTTAATAATAGCCACCTTAATAAGTAAGTTTTTATTTATATACCGCCTTTTCACTGCAGATCTGAGTCTCAAAGCGGTTTACAATTGTTAATTTTTTGGGCATTTGTCTCTCACTCCACACAGAGATGGGAGCGGGGTCGCCAGTACAGGAAGCGCATGCCAGAACTATTGGACATATTTTTAGTGGTAGGGGAAACCGGAGTACCCGGAGGAAACCTACGCAGACACGGGGAGAACATGCAAACTCCACTTAGAAAGGCCCTGGTCCGACCGGGATTCGAACCCAGGACCTTCTTGCTGAGAGGCGAGAGTGCTATCCACTCAGCCACCGTGCCGCCCATAATGCATGTATGTTCTCATTTGTTATACTTCTAATGGTGTCAATCCAATGCTGTGTGCTATTTCTGTCCCTTTGCCAATGAGCTCATAACTTCACAGCCCCTCTATGATTCCAGCTGGGTGTATTCAGTCCACTGGGAGGGAGCTCTGATTTTAGACGGGCAAAACAAGTCCTTTGTAAAGCGTTGAGTGTACATAAGTGTGAGGGTTTGCATGTGGCAGCAGCGGACAGTCAGGGCTGCGTTTGCATGCTGTCGGAATGCAAGTGGCATTCCTTTCCCATACAACCCCCTTCGTCCCTTTTTGTCAGCAATGTTTCATGTCAACACCCGGCCTTTACGCTGTTTGTTGACAGAAAGAGTTTCAAAATACAACCAGGCATCCATAGAGAAGTAGTGCTCAGCGCAACCAGTGATTGTGCTTGATTGCAGTGTGTTTGACCAATTTCGATGAATCATTTAAAGACTACACTTCATTATATACTGTATATTGTGACATCTGCTCGATTGTGATTTCACTGAATCACATTGAGCTTGTCTTTAACATTTGCAATTTTACAAGTTGTTTATGATGTAAACAATCTTTTTGTGCATTTATGAAACCAAAAACCAATCATTTGATCTATAAATGGTACCTTACAATATTGTTAAAATGTTGTGTGATTGTTTTGTTGTGATTGCATTTATGAAACCAAAAACCAATCATTTGATCTATAAATGGTACCTTACAATATTGTTAAAATGTTGTGTGATTGTTTTGTGTAAACATGGCTTATTGTTATTTGAAAATTACTTTTTTCTCTGTTGAAATATTACCTCAGATTTTTTTCTTTTCCAATCATGCAATTTCCCTCATATGAACCCTGAACTATTTTTATTTTACACATATGCACTGTGTGGGTGTGAAAGGCGGCTCATGTGCAAAAGTGAATTGTCAGGAGAAGTGGTTTGACAAAGGTCTGAGATTTTCACTTCCTGTTTGTGTAGAGTACTGCAGAGTGCGAGTTTAGTTATTTTCCAGCATATTATCAGTTTGATAAATGTCCTCCTTTCTTGGGACTTGACTACAAGTTCACTAAGCTCTCTTTTATCATACTTGCATGAAGCCAAACATATTTAGGAGTTAAGTTGGTGGGGCTTATTTGCGTGGAAAAAATATGTGCAGCAGTTGTATAGAGAGAAGTCTATATTTAAGAAATATTACACAAACCTGTAATCACAAATGCATTATAGATAATAAATGGTAAAATATAAGCTTCACTGCTATTGCTAATAAGGGCAATATTTATCAGTGCAATAATAGAACTACGCTCTACAAATAAAATGTAAACACATTATGAGTTTGTGTAGAAGAAGGCTGTTTGCTGACAGAGGCCGTAGAGGACCAAACTTCACCCACATTACGTGACGGTCAGACGGGCTCATGACACGAGTCACCACTATCTTGTACGCTGTGAATGAATATTGCCATGTGACGTTTCTTTGAGTGTGTATAAAAATGTTGTAGACAATCTGATGCCTTGATGTTTATCAGTAGACTAAAGGGGAACCTTTTTGGAAGTGAACTAACTTGACGTCTTCTGCTTTTAAATGATTGTTTAATCATTTAGCGATGGTTCTTTCAATTATTCCATTTTTGGTTTGGATCACAGCTTAATGCCCCGTGAACCTGTTGATATTGGTTGATTGTACATTATATTTTTTTTATTACTGCACTGTTTGGGTGAAAAAACTCTTCACAGCAGGTTCAAATCTGTCTGTTTCAAAAAGAACATTCTTGTCATTAGACCCAAGTGATTCTCTAGAATCTGAACTTAAGGTCCCACACATTCAGCCTTCCTCTGAAATATTGACTCGGCTCCGCAGGGGACAGTGCCTTTTCCATGACTTCATGTCTCCATATCCGTTGCTACAGTGAAATGGCCGCTTAATGAAGGTGCTTAGGTGGGCTATTGTGTCGGCCTCACTGACTAATAATCCCCATGCAATTAAAACGCTCCTTTATCAGCTCCACTTGGAGAACCTGCTTATGACTTTTCACTCAAGTATTCGGCTTTAGTGGCAACATGCCATAGGTTAGAAAGATTTAGATTTTGTTTTGTGTTGGATGATACAGACACAGATGCCCACAATGAGGAGAAATACTTTAACCAAAGCACTGATAGGAACAATGACGGAGTTACAGCAGAGGCCAGAATAACCTTTACCTGATACTGACTCTGTTAGTAAAGCCATCAAAGCTTTTATTTCTTATTTTAGTCTGCCTTTCCTTTACAACCATTTCCAGTATTTTACTACGTCTCCAATGAGTGCTGCATAGATGAAGAGCTAAACACATCTAGCCCTTGGTGTTGTTATAATTGCTGGTCATATGATCTTCTGTTAAATCCCATTGATCTGCTGCTCTGCTTTTGGAAACAAAGAGCCTTTCTATTAGTGGAGCGATCATTCTACTGCAGAGTCGTCTTTCATTGCACATGCTCGTTGTGTGAGACAAGCTTGAAAGAGAATAGGTTGGAAGCACACTATGTTTAGAATGTTAATAGTTTTTTGCAATTTGGAATGTTTTGATCCAAACTAGTTTTTGTGACATCTCACAAAGTGTGATGTTGGAGACTTTCTGTTTTCGGTCTCCTTGCCCGGCCAGTGGATGCAGAGTGTCAATGGTTAGTCTACAAGGCCATGAGCCTCTCAAATTTGAGTTAAATTATAATTTTTATAATAGTATCAGAAACACAATCATTCACTGTATTTCAGAACAAGAACTTTTCACTCCATTTATTTTATGTTCCATGACATTTTTGAAGACATAACAAAGGTCACATTATAAAACTTGATGCTGACCCAGAAAACCCATTTGCCCAGAATAATTTAAAAAGCTTGAGCTGTAATAATTACTGTATTTTTTATCCTTGCGGCTTATTCAACCTTCTACAGCTAATTTGGTTTTCTATTACAATGGAAATAGGAAAACTTTATTTCATAGTAAATATAGCAATAATAAATATTGACCACCCAATATTGTTCCAGCTCTATCTATGTAATGTCGATACATTAATTAAGCCTAAGCCCAAGGTCACATTATCCTTCACTGCACCAAACCACCTGTGAAGTGAAATTAATTATTTAGTGTTGAAACAGGACAGAATTGTGCTTTGTCTCCACACGGGGTCCATCTGGTCCCAACTTTCTGTCCTGTGTGTGTTTGTGAGTTCTACAGTTTCAGTGTGGGCCAAAGTCCAGACCAAGCCCAAACTGTAACATACAAACACCACCAGCTGCTGCCTGTGTGTGCCTGAATGATGTACTGGGGGACATCTGGGATCATGTCTGGAGTAAAGAGATGAAATAATAATGAGGTCATTCTTGTGCAGCTGTAACTAATGCAGTTGTAGGGTCACTTAGAAATGTGTGGCGAACTGCTGTTCTAGCTTAAATGTATTTCGATAGCCTCTACACCTCTGAAAAATAAGTCTATTCAAATTCTGCTTACTAGTTCCACTAGAAAAATAATTTAAACTGAATTGAATAAAGTCCTAAATCACAGGAAATGCGATAATAACAATCACATTGGAGCCATTAGTCCATAGAGTACTTGGATAATCAAAATAAATGTTAATAGATGTCCTGGTTCAATATCCTTAGACCTTTGTTCCCCTGCAAGAAATGGGGGAAAAATGTGAGCAACCTTGGAGACCCCTAATGAGGAAAGGATCCACTCTTAGATCCAGGACAGGCTATAGATCCAGGACTCGAGCTATAAAGTGAGGACTGAGGCTGTGCAGTGCTGGACTGAAGAGGCTCCCAGGCGAGGAGGTGTCCACAGGTTGTAGGCCAGGTTCACAGGTCCCATCATCGAGCCATGATACAGACAATGGGACGGAGCATTTTAAGCCTGGCCTTGAATGTAAAGACTGTATGCGCTTCCTTGATATAGACGGGGAGCTGATTCTGCAGTATGGGAGTGTGGTCTCTAAGCGCTTTTAGACACTATTTTCAACCAGAGATTTTTTTGGCCTCTGTCGCATCCTTAGATCAGCTTTTTCAGATAGAAAACAAAAAAGAGAAACCCCCCTTCACTAAACCAATTAGCTCTAAGCCCAGATTGACTCACTGGCTTGTTTCTTATGAGTAAGCAAAAGATTACATGTTTTCTAATAAGGGGAAGACAACATGTTGTGGTCTGATTTTGTTCTCAACATTTTACATACATACATAGGCACTTTCATTATACGTAATGATATGCATTTAAGGTTTATGATAACGTTTAGGTCCCTGAAGTTCTATAAAACTACATGCTGTTTTTTGTGTCCAGTTGCTATTTGATGATTAGAAAACCATTGTGTGACTAAAGTTAGCACATTAGTTCAAGAAAATGCATATAAAATATATGTGACGAGTTAAAAAGTCTTGATACTCAAAGCAGAGGACTAGGAACTTTATCTGAAGACCAAAAACCATAACATTTTACTTCATTACAATTTAGACACACACTATACTAAACTTTTATCACCAACCGACAAGAAAGTGGCGACTTTGATTTCATCTCTCTTTCGAGGAGTCCTTGATGGGATCAAGATATGGATGAATGACGTCATTGAAATCCACACTGTTTGCGATGAAGTTATAACAGATTTCTTTTCCTTTTGTTCCAAACAGGCAAGTCCCACCTGGCCATCGTCCAGAAGGTCAACAATGAGGGAGAGGGGGATCCTTTCTATGAAGTTTTGGGCTTGGTCACTCTTGAAGATGTCATTGAAGAAATCATCAAATCTGAGATCCTTGATGAATCAGACATGTACAGTGAGTAGCCCATGGTCCCTATTATTATACTACTTATTATTATTTCACTCTTGATAATTTCTGTTTTTTTGTCTAATCAGCGGATAATCGCAATAGGAAAAAGGTGGCACCAAATAAAAACAAGAGGGACTTCTCTGCTTTTAAACACGAGACTGAATCAAAGGTTAAGATTTCCCCTCAGCTTCTACTTGCTGCTCATCGCTTCCTAGCAACAGGTAAGGTCATCATAAACTGGATGTTTAGATAAGATTATATTTATCACTGTTTAAAGGATATTCATATTTCTCCACTGTGATGCAACGAGACCATGTTACAAGCTAGATCATCCATAGCAGTATATAGGATTCTTCTTGTATATTAATCACACAATTCCTCAAGGCGAAGAAATATAATTGTTTATCCTTTTGTTTTGTTCAGTTTATAGTTTTTATACAAGATAATATGTTAATGATATAATGCTAAAAGAATTAAGGAAACCCTGCACATGCTCGCTCTCATTGATCAATATCTCATATTGTAGTGGAATTCCTTGAGAAAGAAATGACATAGGATGGTTAAAGGAGCTCAAACCATTATTCCATTCGGGTCTAGATTCAGAATCCTGCTCAACATATAATATGATTCTGAAAAGACGGCTGTAAATGTCACACCCTGTGTACATGCTGCCCTGAAGGATTATGTAACCACAACATCATGATCCTGGGTGTGATCTTGACCCTATCACCCGACTCCTCTCACACGTTCAAACATGTTCAGCAAGACGTCTTTATGCCCACTTGTGTAACTCACTTTAGCATCTGAAGCTACCAACCAGGAACAGTTTGGAAACGAGCCAGGCTGGGAGACTGCGGCAGCCGAGAGTGTCGCAATCTGCCCTAGGAGCAAATTTACACTTTAGCATGATGAAGCTCTTCTGAACAAGTTATCATTGGTTTTTCATTTAAATTTTGTTGTCCAAATGTTGTTTTTTTGTTTTTGCAATGGTAAATGTTTTTATTGTCTTCAGTTAATCAGAAGTGTTTACTTTATTGTTTTTCCTTGCCAAAGAAATGGTGCATAAACTAAACTAAAGACAAGCAAATTAATAATGTCCCAGAGCATCCCATTAGTCCACTGCAGCTGTCAATCTCACTCCCCGTCTTTACCTTAATACAAAAATAGCAATACAGTTTGAAAAGGGGTTGGACGAAGCAGATACTTGTTTGGCCCCGACTCCTCTCATTCAACACAAAACACACTCATTCATTACGGGTTTTGACACTATCTGCCCCGTGCTTTCAACTCACCTTGCCGAGCCGGGTTCAGTTCACACACCGGCCAAATATAGTTAAGCCAACATTTGATGCAAAGAGATGCAATTGTTGACCCACAGAGACAACGTAGCATTCCGCTGTTATTAGAAAAGCATAAGTTATATATACAGTGCCTTGCGAAAGTATTCGGCCCCCATGAACCTTTCAACATTTCACCACATTTCAGGCTTCAAACATAAAGATATAAAAAATATTTTTTTTGTCAAGAATCAACAACAAGTGGGACACAATCGTGAAGTGTAACTAAATTTATTGGATAATTTGAACTTTTCTAACAAATAAAAAACTGAAAAGTGGGGCGTGCAATACTATTCGGCCCCCATTGCTCTAATACTTTGTAGCGCCACCTTTTGCTGCAATTACAGCTGCAAGTCGCTTGGGGTATGTCTCTATCAGTTTTGCACATCGAGAGACTGGAATTCTTGCCCATTCTTCCTTGCAAAACAGCTCGAGCTCAGTGAGGTTGGATGGAGAGCGTTTGTGAACAGCAGTCTTCAGCTCTTTCCACAGATTCTCGATTGGATTCAGGTCTGGACTTGGCCATTCTAACACCTGGATACGTCTATTTGTGAACCATTCCATTGTAGATTTGGCTTTATGTTTTGGATCATTGTCCTGTTGGAAGATAAATCTCGGTCCCAGTCTCAGGTCTTTTGCAGACTCCAACAGGTTTTCTTCCAGAATGGTCCTGTATTTGGCTCCATCCATCTTCCCATCAATTTTAGCCATCTTCCCTGTCCCTGCTGAAGAAAAGCAGGCCCAAACCATGATGCTGCCACCACCATGTTTGACAGTGGAGATGGTGTGTTCAGGGTGATGAGCTGTGTTGCTTTTACGCCAAACATATCGTTTTGCATTGTGGCCAAAAAGTTTGATTTTGGTTTCATCTGACCAGAGCACCTTCTTCCACATGTTTGGTGTGTCTCCCAGGTGCCTTGTGGCAAACTTTAAATGAGACTTTTTATGGATATCTTTGAGAAATGGCTTTCTTCTTGCCACTCTTCCATAAAGGCCAGATTTGTGCAGTGCACGACTGATTGTTGTCCTATGGACAGACTCTCCCACCTCAGCTGTAGTTATCTGCAGTTCATCCAGAGTGATCATGGGCCTCTTGGCTGCATCTCTGATCAGTCTTCTCCTTGTTTGAGATGAAAGTTTGGAGGGACGGCCGGGTCTTGGTAGATTTGCAGTGGTCTGATACTCCTTCCATTTCAATATAATTGCTTGCACAGTGCTCCTTGAGATGTTTAAAGCTTGGGAAATCTTTTTGTATCCAAATCCGGCTTTAAACTTCTCCACAACAGTATCTCGGACCTGCCTGGTGTGTTCCTTTGTCTTCATGGTTCTCTCTGTGCTTTAAACAGAACCCTGAGACTATCAAAGAGCAGGTGCATTTATACGGAGACTTGATTACACACAGGTGCATTCTATTTATCATCATCAGTCATTTAGGACAACATTGGATCATTCAAAGATCCTCACTGAACTTCTGGACTGAGTTTGCTGCACTGAAAGTAAAGGGGTCGAATAATATTGCACGCCCCACTTTTCAGTTTTTTATTTGTTAAAGAAGTTTAAATTATCCAATAAATTTTGTTCCACTTCACGATTGTGTCCCACTTGTTGTTGATTCATGACAAAAAATAATTTTTTGCGTTTGAAGCCTGAAATGTGGCGAAATGTTGAAAGGTTCAACATACGAATTCTTGCGAATTACGAAAACTTGCGAATACTTTTGCAAGGCACTGTATATACTATATATACAGTAGGCCTATAGCCCGATGATGATGATGACGATGATAATTAAAATGTATTGCCATAATTCACAGTTACAGTAACTTATCATTGTCCATGAGTTGTAGTTGCATAATGGCTGCAAACGGTTGATGTCCATGTTTTAAGGTCTGAAAAACATGCCTCACAATCATAATGTTGATATGGGTCGACTGCATTTGAACACGGGTCCAAAAACACAGTTCTGTAGTGTGAAAACTGCGACTCGGGAAAAGCAGTGACCCTACTCCTCCCCCCATCACTTTCTGTGTTGGGGGAAAGTCTGTGTTTCCCTCCCCCCTTTTATGTTTTTTGATTTGTGAATGTAATCATATTTGAACATGTTTTTAATCTGTCTGGTAAATTTGGGTGTGGCCTTGGATTTGGAGGTGCTGGGTTTGTTACAGCAAATCCCCAAACTGGACCCAGTGCTTTCTGTGTGAAACTCTGGAGGCTAAAGGTCTGTTTCCTTGTTCCTGCAGAGGTCACCTTGTTCAGCCCCGCTCAGATCTCGGACAAAGTGTTGTTGAGGATTCTGCGGCATCCGGACGTCATCCAGGAGATCAAGTACGACGATAACGACAAGCGCTCTCCACATCACTACGTTTACCAGAGAGCCAAAGCTGTCGACTACTTTGTGCTCATTCTGCAGGTATGGATATACATGTAAATTCTATTGATGCTTTTCTTGTCACCGAGCACCCACGTGCACTGATGTAGGGCTTTTGCAGAAAGCAATTGATGGGTCACATACATTTTAATTTAGTGAGGGGACTAAAGAGGAGTGGCTCTCTCGTCGAGGATTCATAATGCATTTCACATTCTTTTAATTGCAATTTCAATGTACAATTCAGCAGTTAGTTTTGGTTAAAAGCTGATAACAAATGTAATACAAATTTGGTTTGGATCAAAATGGGGAAAATCATTGTGTTCCCCAAATGTCTGAGTCCTTTCCTGCTGCGTCCCTGAAGTTTGTTTCCGATTTATAGATCTCAGATCTTCTATTGCCAATATTAACCTTAGCTTAATAAATGAATAGGTGAATGGGTAATATAAATATCCAAATGGCATTGCTTTAGTCTTTATAAAAAAGGAATAGTGCCATTTAAATAAATATAAGTTTGTCTTCTGTGAGCCTTAATGACTAATTTTCTAGTTTGAACACTGTACATTGACTGTCGATTAAATGAATTTGTACTACCGTATAATGACACAATGACCCAACTCTTTGGCAGTTTTGTACGATATCTTATGTGTTAGCGTCCCGCCCTCTTAGCGATGAGGTCGGGACGGTGTTTCAATTCTAAATTTAAATGTATTAAAGAATATAATGATTATTTTATTTTATAATCTTGTTTTGCATATTTCCAACTGAATACACCACAAAGATTAGATGTATTTTGTTGTTCATCATTCTTCTGACCAATACATTTTAGGGTAACTTTGGATGTTGCATATCAATTCGGGAGCATGCAATGTATGGTTCCAAATCTCATGTGGGGAAAAGGCTGTGTGAGGATCTTCCAGGTCGTGTATGGGGGACACGACTATTGATATTTATCCCCATTATGTAATGTAGAAAAACCTTTTTAGGGCTCAATACAACCCTTATTACTGCACTTCTGTATTTCTATGTAGCACTCTTCGATAGACATACTCCGTACTATTAGGGACTATATTGACCATCTTTTTTGACCCAGGTCTTTAAAAGGTGCTATAAGAATAAATAATACTTACAAATGGCAAATAAAGCTCTGTACAAATGGGAATGGTGTTGTTACTTTGTATTGGCAAGCACTACTTTTATTGAGATCATTTATTATGTTACTATTGTAAAGGACCATTTCTCCGTAATAACAGGTCTACTTCTCTATACTAAATTAGTCAGAGTTATGTAGAGCTCTATTTTATCAGTAATCTTTTTATGACATTCCCACAGTTTTGTCTCAGTCTCCCTCAAACAGTCATTATCTCTAACATAATCCTCTGTAACTTTCTCTGCTCTTACTGTGAGCTCTTCCCCATGAGGAGGATTCTGAGACCCCACAGCAGCCAGTCTCCTGGGACCTTATGGTAGAGTGGGTGGCATTTGAATGGAAAATGCACTTACGTAATGCAAAAGGCTTTTCTGCCCATTATAGCTGCTGCTACTATGTGTGAGTAACAAATATGAGTTAGTGGGAAGTCGTTTTGGAAATGAAAATAGCGGATGTGGTCATATACAACACAGCAGAAGGCTGTATTGATCTTGTTTGTCTAAATAATGATGGGATATTTTCCATCCACTTTGCTGCAGTTCTCCCATAGTTTCCCACCATATTTCTGTTGATAGTGTAATGCAATCAGAGGGTCCTGATGTGCAAAGCCTGTTTCTTTGGATGGATATTCAAAAATACTTCCCCAAGACACAACATTTCTCTAGATATTTCCAAAAAATAATTTGTGTATCTGTGAGGATTCAAGATTATTCAAGTTTGAGTAAAAAAAGGTCAGGTGGATTGTATTGTGTATTTTGGCACAATATTATTTACTCCACTTTGGCACAAGAACAAGAGGTATTATTTTGACGGCACTTTCTGTTGGTTCCAGGATTCCATAGACAGTAGAATCAGTGTAGACGTCACAAATAGTGTTTGACATTTTGTGGAAGAAGCTGATCAGAGCTCATTCAAACGGGCTCTGTGCGGGATTCTGGAGCCAAATATTTGGCGGAAAGTAAAATATTTTTTGTAATAAAATAGTTTGATTAAGTCTTTTGATTTGTATCAATAGTTCATTAGTAATATCAAAACATTTCATTGTTAACACTTAACATGTGTCCAGCGCAGCCTTGAAGTCTCCTCTATTAATGTGAAACATTGTTCACTGGTTCTTGGGAAAGCCAAGGGACATAAATAGTGCCTCTGATGATTAATAGTTTGTAATGAACAGTTTTTCTGTCGTGTAAACACATAAACATGACACATTCCAGCGCTATTACATCAGTACGAGTGGGTCTTCCTCTATAGAGCTGGAAAACCCTCTGAGAATAAGATTTTAAGGAATTACAACAATGAGTGATGTCTTTATATGCAGCAGATGTTAAACGCATCTTATTCTGTTTTGGCACTACAATGCCTTCTTTATCAAACCATCAAGCAAGTGAACATGTGTCCAGAGTCACTTTAGGCAGCGTATATCTTTTGAAACAGATCTGTAAAGCATATTTTCACCCAAGTGAACCAGACTGACAACTTTTTGCTTGGTAATAGCAGGACTGGTCACAAGCCCAAATATGGCACAATACAAATGACTCCCGACGTTACAGCTCAGGAGATTCATGGATGTAATTAAAGCCTGTTGTGTGCGTCTGACTCAGGGCACAGCAGAAAAGACATCACCCATTAATGGAAGTCAGTTACTCATTTTACAACAAACCACTTGTACACTCACCACTGAGCTGTGTGTGGTATTATAAAACCTCTTTTCATATTTACAGAACTCATTACAGCAGGATTACAGTTTTTCCTTAGCATTTGTATTGCTGTGGTGTATAATCATGTTTTATAAATCCTGGTGATGTGTGATTCTGTGTTGCTTCTATCCATATCGTAATCTTGATGTTTCGGGATTTTCTTTTTAACAATATTTAAACAATGTTGCAGAAACTCATTAAGAATGAAAGAGTTCAGGGTTTTGTTGGCCACAATAAAATATTATAGAACTAATTTAAGCACGAATTGTAATCACTCAGGCTGTAAAGATTAATAGGTACTAATTGAGTTTTTCCCAATAATCCCAACATGAAAAATGAATCAAGAATTGGCAAAATTAGTTACTTATAAACAATTAAACATTTTTAGGATATTTAGTCCTCCAGTGGTTTCAGGTCAGCTCTTCTCGCACACAATTGACCATCATAGCAATCATTATGTTCTGTAATTTTTGCACAAAGGCATTTTTTAAAGAAGCTTCACTTTGTTTATTTCCATTATTGACAACTTAATTCCTGCTTAACAATAAGAAACGGGGACACTCTCGTTGACCACGTGATGAAGACCAAATGGGAACAACGTCTCTCTCCACAAAAGTCAATAATATGTCATATAGACAATCATAAAGCACACAAGGTCCAGAGTCACGTTTGAATGACTCATAACCATGTGAACTTTGCCCAGATCACGCCTTCAACTGCTGCTCAGCACAATAGCAACCACTTACCTCAACATTAGAATTGAGGTTTTCTTTCTCAGCCTCCTTTAGTAATTATATCCTGAAAAAGTGTTAGTATAGTGTTCTATCCTGTTAATAATATTTTTTGTCAGCTGTTGCTTAATGTAAGAGCAGAATGGTGATTTAAAGCTCTATGTATTTGAACCTAATTTGAACTAAATAATACCGCCCTGGTTAAGGTTGTAAAACTAGTCTGACCAGAGCCTCAGGGACACAGCACCCTCAGAAGGTTTCAGCTGGTTCTGTTCTTAAATGTCCTCACACAATTAGTGCTGTGTGAAGTGATTATTTCAGGATTATTACTTAAAAAATCAAACTCAAAACTGTCACCCAGAAGCACTCTGTTTTAAATAACACAGAAAAAGAAAAAGAGGATGCATACATTGAGTAGATATATGGGTCTCCAACTTGTAGCTCGAGCGCTACCAAGGATTTAGGAATCTAACGCATGATCCTGAATTATTATGTTTTAAGTCATATTTGAACTATGTAGGATTATGCAGTATTACGGTTTATTTTACATTCTCCATGATTTGCAGTAGCTCTCTGCCCTTTCTGTTGTGTAAAAGTAGCTCTCCGATAAATTAAGGTTGAAGACTAGAGCAGAAGATGTCGAGCATATTTTCAGCCCACTGTGCAAGCATTAGGTAAGGGTTACGAGTGGGCTTTGTTGTTTAAGAGTACAGTAATTTATACCATTTAATAATTATGAAGAAATCATTATATTTATTATGCACATTTGCTTTCATTTATTGAGTTGTCCAAAAGACTAGTTTGCCCTCCATCACACACACAAGAGCCCGCTGTGGGCAGAGGTAATAAGGAAACACTGGTTAGACAAGTGTTACACAAGTTTTTCTTGACTGAGATTAAAAGAGCATGTGAGTGTTGCTGTGGTGCCGCTGAGCAAAGCACACAGCCTCTTGTTTGTGCAGCAGGTGTGAATGTGTGAGTTATGACAGGCCTGGACCTCACTCACACAATGAGCTATTTTAAGATCAAACAAGAAATGGAAAGGTCTTAGTGAAGTAAAATTGTTTGCATTTATCTATATTTATAAATGAAGGGATCAGTGAAGAATAAGTGGTCATTGAAACGTATCATTCTGATAGAGATGGCTCTTTTGAACATATTCAGTGTTTTGTAGAAAAAATGCAAGCGTAATATTCAGTGTAATATTTTTTGTACAGGAGCACACAACATGATGTCTTGGGAAACAAGGTATTTGTAGCACTGTCACTCAATGTTTTATTACCCCCTATCCTTCAGTTTTAATTATGTTGATACTTGTACTGGTAAGAGAGTTGTGAGTCACTATCTGACACTTTAGGCCGAGAGCTGATTGGTTGAGTGATGGGGGTCTTCTCTTTTTTTCTTGTTTCTGTCTGAAAATGTATTTTTGAGGATAGAGCAACTCTCACCAAACATAATATTAAACAGTTTCAGACTTGACAGCACTTAAAATATCTGTATTTATACCATGGCCAGTGTCCAATGCAAACTTCTGTTGATTAATACTGTTTGAATCTCATGTTAAATTACAGGTCCCATATCTCAGACACAACACAGCACTGAGCATGGTTAACTTCTTTCTTTTAAAGGTTTATTTTACAGTGGAATGTTGAATTAAGTTGCTGAACACACTAAACATGTATTGTTTTGTTAAATGAATGAGTTAAAACGTTGCCTTTGTCTTTGTTTTGGTCATGGCAGCAGTTACTAAGCTTTTGCTGAACTTGACTAAGAGTAGTTCCTTTCCTTCATGTTTTTGAGAGGACAAAATATGTGTTTTCTAATATTTTATGAGTGTGTGAGTGTTTTGACCACGCTATAAGCAGTTTTAACAACTTGGAGCAATAATAATTTGCTTGTGGGCATCTCTCCTGCGGTCTCAGAGTGTTGTTTACGTTGATCTTTAGTTTGTCTTTGGTGGGACCTGTTTTGAACTAACCATGTCTTTTTGGGGGGGAGGATGGATGAGTCTGGATTAACTGTACCGTGTTGTTGCTGTAGTTCACACATTCTAAAATGCCAACCAGGACGAGCCTCTGAACGTCCTCATCACTGCTCTGTCCTCATGTGTCCCATTGTATCTGTCCGTGGAGTCATGAAATGTCATGTTTCACTCACAAATATTTATGCTGCAGCTGCTGTTCTTTGGCCTGTGGTTGTGGCGCCACCCAGCGGCTTAATATAGCTGTTGAATCCATGAAGTTATAAAGAAAAGTAAACATTTGGAGAGGGATCTTACATTTTTCAAAGGCCACTTATATTTTATGTGCAAGATGCTTTTTAAACATTTATTACATACTGCAAATGGGCTATCAACACTTTTCTGATAACCTTAACCTTTCCCAGCATCAAAAAATACAATTGTTTTACTGGATTTATTGTAGTTTGAAGAGTTTAAAATGGTAATTTTTGACAATTATATATGATATATGAGTATGACAAGCTCGAGCTCAGAGAGGAGCTGGAGAGGGCCCAGAGATTAAAGGTGACAGTAGTGTTGGTGGTGATGGGGGCACTCAGGGCAGTGACCCCCAAATTGGAGGAGTGGTTACAGCAGATCCCTGGAACAACCTCAGAAATGTGCAGTTCTAGGAACAGCACAGATACTGCTCAGAACCCTCAAGCTCCCTGGTCTAGATGCATTATGTATAACGCATGTTGACACTATGACGCAAGATCACAATTTAATCAACGAAGATGAGCAGCCATTTCTACTTCTGCATTATTTTAAACACTGAACTCGCTTAATCCAAAAATCTAATCTCATTCTTGTTTGAAAAGCAAAAACTAGACAAAAACTATGCAGTCTTTTACACCCCCAGAATAAATTCTATCTCATGTTACTTTTCCATCCATCCATCCATCCATTTTCTTCCCCTTAATCCATTTCTGGGTCGGGGGGGTGGCCAGAGATGCCACCCAGTACACTTAGCACCAGCCCCTCACTGATCCTCCTGCAGGTGGTGAGTCCACAGGAGCTGATATTTCAGTGGGAGCTTCAGGCAAAGTGGGGTTAAGTGTCTTGCCCAAGGACACAACAACAGCAGTCATCAGTGGGAGTCGTGAAGTAGGTCTTATGGTGGGCTCAAACCCACGACCTTCAGGCTCAAAGGCCAATGCTCTACCAACTGAGCTACTGTCGCCCCCATGAAATGTTACTTTTCATGCTATAAAAATGCTTTGTTATACCCCGCTCCCATCTCTGTGTGGAGTGAGAGACAAATGCCCACAACAACTGTAAAACGCTTTTTGACTCTGGTCTGTGAAAGGCGCTGTATAAATTAAGATCACTTACTTACTTAGATTGCTTTTATTTTCTAGGGTCGTGTGGAGGTGGAGGCGGGGAACGAGAACATGAAGTTTGAGAGTGGACCCTTCTCGTACTATGGCGTCATGGCCCTCAGTGCCCCTGCTCTGGGTGAGTCCTCTATACCTCTGATATAATATGATAATGATCTGGGATAACATTTGGGCCTTTTCGTTTTCAACGTTTCTTTATGTGTGCGAAATGTGTTATTAATATTACTGTGCTGTAGTTCTAAAATTGACAATCAATCATGTCTCTTTGAGGTCAGGGTGAGCAATGTTAAAAAATAAATAATCTGAAATCCATGAAAACTTTATTGATCACAATCTTTTACAGTGGAGCCCTGGCGCCATCTGCCTGTCTCCAGATAAACTGTTGAGAAATACATATTGTTACAATGTAAGATGTGTTTTTAATTGTGTTAAAAAGGGATGGACATTGCAAATTAGCTTTGACTTAATAAATGTTGTTGTGTTTCACATGTTGTACATTGTTACACTATTGTTACACTTTTCCCTATCAAATAGAATATTAGACCTTTGTGAGACAGGTTAGTTTTGCCATTTGTTCTTGCAATGCTTATCCTGCTTCAAAATAATATCATATTTACAATTACAAATTTTAATCTTGTTTGATCCCCAACACCACATCACTCAGCAGATTTGTATAGAGCCCCAGTTTATTCCATCACAGCTCATGATTATTGAAAATCATGTATAAGTTTTGATTAAACTGTTATGACTCTGTTGGACTCCATGTTGTTGCTATTTGCTTGAAACGTTCCAAAGCATTTAGCTTCTACTTTAATGGAAATATGGCATTTATGAATAAAGGAAAACTTTTAATTTAATACTGTTCTGTAGAACTTCCAGGTGATTTTTTTTTTTTCCTTGGAAAGTTGCATAACGTTCTAATCATAAAAGGCTGAACCGTATAGAATGATAAATGACAACTCGAATGTATTGTAATAGAATCATCATAATTAAATGAATAAACACGACTTTACAGAAACAAACTGACTTTTTAAGGCAAAAGACAATATTATGCGTAAAAATCAAATGAAATAAAAAGGAGAATTTCAATTCAATTCAGTTCAATTTATTCTTCACACTTCGTATAAATCACAACTGCAGTCAGCTCAGAGAACATTTTCATCAATACTAATCATCAGGTTAATTTTAACTTTCAGGAAGATTGGGGAATTTTGTACATTGATTTGTCTATAAAGTATATTTATTTGTGCTTCTGTCACCGGATTGCTGATTATTGTGATCTGTTACTTTCTCAGCTCTACCTGTGAGTTTCAGTTCCTCTCTTGTTGTTGTGTATTTGTGTATTTACCCCTGATTGTCCCTCTGTCCCGTCTCAGCTGCTCCTCGCCATCGCCACCTCTCCTTTAAGAGGTTTTCTCTGTTCTCTCGGTTGCCAGGTAACCTCCGGCATGTCTGGGTGCTTTAACATAGCACAAAGTTAGATTTAAAGCTGAGGTACCTAACTAGGAAGTGTGTTATAAATCCATCAAACTAGTTTCTCGTGCTCGAAACTGTTCTCAGCTCAAAGCATTAAAAAATAGCTATTTTTTTCTTCTTACAAGTATGCAAAAGAAAACTAATTCCATGTATGTTGTCATCTGATTTGTTTTACGAGTCAGTTGGGACAATTTTGATTACATTAATAATTTGTGTACCTCAGCTTTAAGTTAGATTTATGCAAGGGTCCAACCTGCACTGTGAATTCCATTCAAAGGAACTGGACTAATTCCAATACAGTAAGAAAACATGAACTCCTCTATGTCCTAATAGCGATATGTATAGCATTTTCTGTCTTGCAACAGCAGGAGTGGGAGATTTCAAAGCTAAGAAATGTGCATATGACATGGGTTAGGAAGTGAGTGGGTCATGTGACTGTTCTGTGGTCGTCTTTGAACTTCTTCAGACAAAAGCAATAGTTACATACCGCCTTTCACAGACAAGGGTCACAAAGCGGTTTACGGTTGTTATTATTTTTTTGGGCACTTGTCCTCTCACTCCAGACCGAGATGGGAGCTGGGTCGCCGAACAGGAGGCGCATGCCAGACCTATTGTACACATTTTTAGTGGTAGGGGAAACCGGAGTACCCAGAGGAAACCTACGCAGACACGGGGAGAACATGCAAACTCCACTCAGAAAGGCCCTGGTCCGACCGGGATTCGAATCCAGGACCTTCTTGTTGAGAGGCGAGAGTGCTATCCACTCAGCCACCGTGCCGCCTTTGGCTTAACTTTCTTACTTCATTCATGTTACAAAGGCTAACGCAGTTGACATGTCCAGGTAAAACAGTGTCCTATGACTCTCTGAGGCCCCCTACAGGAAGACTCACGCCCATGGGTAATGCGAAGCTGAATGTAGTGACTGCATTATGATTAATGCATGTATGATGTGGAGGAAGTTGGCATGCCACACAAAAACTCCAAATGGTTTGCTGACACACGACGCAGCTGGAAATGTACTGATGATGCATGATTCAGGGATTTCAATTGTAGTTGACTCAAATCAGAGACGTATCTGAGGTTTTATGAATAATGAAAAAATAATAATAATAACGAAAGGAAGTAAATATAGTAATCTGATGCCAAAGAGGAAATATAATTTAACTTTATCTAAAGGCAATGATTGCGACCTAATAGTAAAGCCTAAAGACAGTACCCCGGGAAAAGAATGAGTTTGATCCCTGGGGAGTTAATAACAGGTGGTTCCCGTGCCTGGTCAGGGGGTACACGGCGCACAAAATGTTGGCAACCAATGGTGTAGGGTACAACTTACAGCTTTGACTGCTGCTATCTCAACCCGGCAAATGATAAAGTGGAAGCAATAGGTGGATGAGTACATATGGGTCAAATAGCAAGTCGACATGCTCTCCCATAACAATGTATTTTAACAAGAACTTCGTCTCCAATAGCAATCCCAACCCATGTTAATAACAACGTTTACACTTGATGTCATTTGATGTAGGCATCTGGCAATCATTGATGGCTTTCTTGTGAATAATAGCACGCCCTGTCTCATATATATTTTGAATTTTTCATTCTTTAAAGACCTTATGCCGGGTTTGATTTATTTAGAAATACAGTTTTAATACCATTTTATATTAGAAGAGAACTACTAAAGGTTTCAAAATCAGTTGTTGTTTTTTTTGTCTGATCCCCCCAAATCGAAATAACCCCATAGCAACGCCCTTAGAGACGAAAAAACTTCACAGCCCTTGGTGACGTCAGAGTGGGTACGTTTCAACGCTGTAAGTTGTTTACAATTTGGTATTCGTTCTTTTTTTGCGGATATTCAAGATGACAAGGCCGTGTACAGCGAGTGTGACATAACTACTAGATTGTAACATTTTTTTGCACCTTTGACACCTTTTCCCTCTCAAAACGGCAATTTATGTGTAGTGAGCAATTGTATCCTGTAGAGGGCAGTATTGTGTTGGGCATCAGTGGAGAGAAGAGAGAAAAGGCATTCCTGTGGCATAGATCCATGGTTTTCAATGCATGGGCGTTACCCGCTGTGACGTCACACACAGGTTAGAGCATAGACAACTTAAACAACAAGACTTATAGACAACAAGACTTAAATTCATGAAAAACACGTTCTTTTTTATAAAATATAGGATTTTTTTTTGCCGGAATCTCTTTCAGATTGACATTGTCATGCAATTCTGATATCCACAATTTTTTTTTTTTTAAACCCGGCATAATGTCTTTAAGCTACAGGAATGTATGATTTATTTTCTAATTAATAATTGAAATGATGAAGCATATTCAGATGAATGTGTTGTTTACTAACTTATGCTGTTGTAGGGAATGGTGTGAACAAGTATTTTTTTTTTTTTTTTTTTTTCAGGAGATGTGTATTTCCTTGACTTGATACCTTGACCAAACTCTTATTAACCGGTGTCTTTCCTTAATCCCGCAGTCTCCAGTGTGACATCATCATTAATGTGTATCTTAACAAAGAGTCTAAATATAATACTACGTGTTCATAACAGATTCACTGCATCCTGTCTCCCATTTTAGCCTTTTTTTAAATCTCACACTGCAAAAAAACTTGAAGACTTGAATTCAGAACACCAATCCTGTACTTTACAGTTCAGTAAATACATGTCACTAACAGTATCCAAGATGGGACCAAATATGTGTGTAGCTTACCCATTTTGTCGCTGGAGTGTTTTCAGATATTTATTGTGAAACAAACAAAATGTGGTTGCCTGAGCTGCTATAATCAATATCAGGTAAAAACAAGAAAAAGAAAACATGGATGAAAAAAACTCCCACCCCCAAGTGTTAATGAAACAGACTAGAATATTCCAAAACCAATATTTCTATGAAGCTGGACCTTGGTGGCATGTTGAATACTCTATAGTGGCACTTTTCCTAAACATTAGTCTGCACCACTGAACTCCAGGTATGAAAACATTCTGAATTCAAGTCATTGTAAACAGGATATTCTCACAGTGAGCTTACACATGGCTCAGTTGTAACTGTGTTTTTGTGTGTTCTCAGATTTCCGTTCTCCCTCTCACATCAGCGGACTAAACCGCACGGCGTCACTGAGTGGAGCCGATCGCACAGAGTCTCTGTCCATCAGCGGCAGCAACAGTCAACTCAACAGCAGCCTCCCCGTACAGCAGTACATCCCCGACTTCAACGTGCGCGCCCTCACCGACCTGCAGCTTGTCAAGGTGCTTTCCCATTTGCACATTATCCAGGTTCAAAGCAAGGGATGACACAAGAAAAACAAGTGTGGTAGCCTTCATTTGAATGACACGTAATTGTCCTCTGTCTGTTGTGTTTGCGTGTATGAATGGGTGAGTGATGTCACATGCGTCCATGTGACATCACAACATTTCATCATGGAGAGTCATGGAGGACAGTTGAATTAATCCTAATTATTTTATGGTGATAATGAATGGAGTAGGGATTCGCACATCAAAAACCTTCAGAACGGGTGCGTTGGAGAGGAGGCCTGTAGAGCCTAAAGTCAGAGAGAGAAGAATACCGCACACCGTCTTACTTGCAAATAAAAAATATTTATTTAAAGAGCTGCGACGTTTTGGCGTTATGCCTTCATCAAGCAAACATGGTGATAATGAAAACATGCATGATGTTGGCCAGGGGAAAGGTCTTTCAAACAACATTATTTGGGTTTGTGTATCACTTTTATACTATGATCTATGATCTTTCCCATAGAGTTGTGTTGGCACAATGTTGTTTGAAAGACCTTTCCCCTGGCCAACATCATGCATGTTTTCATTATCACCATACAATAATTAGGATTAATTCAACTGATGAAATGTTGTGATGTGATGTCACATGAACGCATCACCTTTTGTGTGAAATTCCACACATTTTGGAATCCACTAAAAAACTTTTGATGCCTCAACTGAAACTTTGTCTGATCTTATCACCCGCATGTTCCCATGAATACTGTCAAAACATTAACATTGGACAACACATTTGGAGAAAGCAGGTGAAAAGACCAGAGCTTTGAAGAGTAAATGCTGTATATACTTTTCCTAAAGCTCAAAGTCACAATCAAGTCACAACGTATATGTTAAACTCACCCAATGGTGTTGAAAGCTGTGGTCACAGCTGCCCTGGAGTAAACACATCTAAACTTTAAGTCTCTCTGACCAGAACCAATCCATATTCACATGTAGAAGCACCAACCAACACCAACCCTCACCACCTTTTCAATCTTACCAATATTGTACATTTAAAATGGTTAAACGTTCCATGATAATCCCAGTTATCGCATCAATAGCGACGTATTGTATCAATATTTTAGTTAATTGTCAAATTTATGTCATTGTGACTGGTGTGGTGATACTACGGTAAGATTGCTTCAGAGAGAAACTTATTCCGATTTTCTGTTGATTATAGCGATGAACAAACAGGGTGCTCCTGCATGTGACAAACCTGTTCAAACTAGTCTCCTAATTATGTTCATCTGGATTCTTCAAAAGGGTGGTTTTATAACGCCCAATAATTTCTTTCCAATAAATAATGTATTTTCTTCAACAACACCTGGTCAACTTGTCCTGCTCTTCAATACATTTTATTATTTTACCTTTTATTTATTCTTTGGTCAACAACAAAAAACAACAAGAAAGAAACACATTCATTACTCATTTTTGTTTTTCTTTATTGACTGAAAGCGGTTCGGCTGAAGTTTGACACATGACATTATGATTCAGAAATAACACAATGATGCAATAACGCACACTAAATCATTATACTATACTATTATGCAAAGTCTGAAAATACATGACACTTACCTTGTATTTGATTACATTAAAAATATATTTACTGCAGAATTAGCTGTGTGTAGTGTCATCGATCGTATTCCTTTACACATCTATTACCAAAACTATTTACTGAAGGATGATAACTTTTGTTGTAGTTAAACATTAGGGGTTGTACTTCTTGCAACCTTCCTTTCTATGTTTATTATGTGTTATGAACCATTGTTGGATCATACTAACTTCTCACTACCAAAGGGAGTTTTCTTCAAAGTATTACAAAATATGTTCTCTTGTGCCTGCTTGTAAGAAAGCACCCTGTGACTACTATTCTGCTTTGGCTGAGTGAAGGTGGTTGTCTTATTTTTTTTCACTTTTCTGTCTGAAAAATCTGATTTTAAACAGGTGATAGAGCCCAAGAATCCATGCATAAGAAAACAAGTGATCGCCAAGATACCCAAGCTTTAAATTCTGCATTTCTCTGCTGTGTATTTTTAAGTTCATCAGTTTAGCATTTCAATGATTAATGACACTCTCACAACTTTTTTTGCTTTGCCATCCACCGTCGCATAAGCTTGAATAACGTTTTTGTGTCGTCTAAACTCCACAGATCACCCGGTCCCAGTACCAGAACGGTTTGATGGCCTCCCGCTTGGACAGCACCCCTCAGTCCCCAGAGAGCATCCATAACAGTGGGCAGCTGGACCCCGCCCTCCCCTTCACCACCACCCCTCCGCACTGCAGTCCTCTGACCATCTCCGATCTGAACGGGCAGGACTCAAACGGGTTGGAGAACGGACCGGACGAGACCTCGTTACTCCTCCAGAACGAAACTCCAGTCCCTAACAGCGCCCCAAACCACCACAGCGCCCTGGACAACAGCATCTGACCCCCTGCTGCATGTCTACGAGAGACACGAACTGTGCTCAGAGTAGGACCCAAAGATGGTGGCATGCCAAAGGAAACACTGCTAATCATGAGTCTACGGACGTGCCAATGGCTTGAATTCTAAATATTAGTCTAGTTTTGATCAATTGAGATATTTTTTGTTTTTTTTTTCTCTTGAAACACGTACACCATCTAGGACGGGGATCGGCAACCTTTATTATTATTATTATTATTATTATTATTATTATTAAAAGAGCCTTTTTACCTGCTCTTCTGCCAATGAGAAATGGTCAAGAACGGCAAAATGTTTAATATACCGTATACATAAACTATTTTTTTCTTTTTTATTTTTTTTTTACAACCATTCAATACAACAAAATTGAATGCCATTTTGTGACCTTTGTGAATCTTTTTTTTTTATAAATGTAATACTTTTTTATCAATCCCAAAGGAGCCATTACAAGAAGGCTGAGGACCTGCATGTTGTTAGTTAAAAGATTTAAAGTAGGTAAGATCAAAGGAAGGAATTACTTTTGACCCTTTGAAATTTTACCAATGCGTAATTTGGCAGCTTGCATCTCCACAAACCTCACATATCTGTACATATTTACATGGTCGCAGTGAACCGACAAAGGAGAATATATTTGTTTTATAATCTTGTGCACCTTCATGTAACTGATGGACATCCGCTACCTTTCTGTCTCTGTCCCAATCAACCCACTCAGGGAGACCCCACAACCCCACGACCCCAAACAACTCTGCCGCATGTGTAGCACTCGCTGTTCCCATCGATCTCGCCCGTACAAAGGCAAAGAGCAACTTACAACGAGAAACACAACTCTATATCTTCCATAGTGTATGCTAGAAAGCTGATATTTATTGAACTGTGCGTTTGGGTGTAACGTTCACGCGACTACTTTGCCTTGTTCTGTGGTTTGAGAATTTGAGAATCACTTTTTGATGACCTTCAGATTATAGCAAGTCTTTCCACAGTACTCTCGAGGTGGGGGGCAACAGGCTTCCTTTTTACTTATTTTGATGCCGCCGCTTCAGAATACGATAACGTTTAAACTGTTTGTCCAAGAATGTTGATCCTGATTTTCTAATGTATTTGAAAGACTAAGAATATAAACTGCAGGATTAAGTAGTAGTCCTGTTGAGCCATCTACATTTAAAACTACAAAGACAATCGCAAAAACCTGCAACGGAAATAAACAGGCCTCTCAAGTATTGTTTAATCCAGTTGATAAGGTAATTATTGTGACAGGCCTATAGCCAACATTTCATTTATTTGCAAAGGTTGGAATTGCAGGTCATGAATCTATATAACCTCAAGGGGATATCAACCATTTTTGTTGATGACAAAATCTTAGAAGTGTGAAAGCAATGTACAAGAGAAAAATAGACCTAATTATGACAATAACAATTGAATGTCAATGTTTTATTATACAGTCAAAGTCAATAACAAACTGCACTTTTAAAGGTGAGGTCAGAAACTGAAACTTTAACAAATTTTTTTTTATTTCTGACCATATATTGTAAATAAAAAACCTGTATATGATAGTGCAGTGTGTACTTGTGCTAAAACTGGTGACTATAATTTGAAACACAGGCTAATGCTAAAAACCAAATGCTAACGGTAAACGATTAGTAAAGTCATGCAGGATACACTTTTAGTTGTTTTTGTCAACACAATCCCCATTTCTACTGATTTACACAACATTTCTATCCTGAATTTGATCAAATAGTAAAAGTGATGCCATGACCAGGACAATAACAAGTGCGTTTTGTTGTTGTTGCTGTTTGCCCCCCATCTGCATATAATACAATAGGCACGTTTTGAATGTTATCTGAAAACCAGCAATGGGCACCGAACTTGTGTCTTGACAATCGGAATGAATGCGTTGGCTTTTCTCGTGACTTAATCCTGTCGATATTGTAGCAGCTGCCCTAATGTGCCTGTGTGTAAGTGTGCGTGTGACCAAAGTGTGGACATCAATGAAGTTGGTGGGGACACAACCAAAAGAGGGATTATTAGAGTTGACCTTGTGACTCAAAAACACTTACTACTAGAGATTTTATTTATTGTATACTTCAATGCAAGTGTGTACATAAATACATTTTATTTGTCAAATGTTGGATGATAATTATTTTGCTCTGTGATTTTGCATTGTTTTTATTGTATGTGTTTTAATTGGTTGGGTGGGATTGGGTGCACACTGGTATTTGTAAATTATTTGTATTTTATTATTATTTTTTTCCCAATGCCAATCCATGAATACGAAATATGACACTCCATTTTTTTTACTGTACCTACACATTTGTCATTTTGAATTAAATGTATAGACTGCCAAAGACTACAACATGTATTGTGCTTCATTTGGATTAAAAACTAAATTTGTGTTGGAATATATCGCTTTGCAGTGATGGAATGTTTTTACAAATATTTATATTATTGATTATAGCAATTATACTGTATAGTTTAGAATGCCAGTAGGATATTTTGTGTACATTTTAGTGTGATGAAGCTGAAGTGAAGCCACCATAGGACATATTTTCCTTTTCTACCATAAATCACAAGACATTTACACAATTCTTGATACTCTATTTTGATGAAATTCCAAGCCAGTCTTGAAATCAAGAAGAAAAGGCCCCATGAGTCACTATTTGAATTATAGGGTACTATGTTTATTTTTTCACTTTTCTTTCTGAAAAAGCTGATTTGACAGAGGCCACAAATACATGCATTTGAAAACTATAGTGATAAAACCAAACTATTATGATTGGAGAAATACCGCCATGTCCTGAAATGTCTTGAGATACTTCCATTATCAAGGCCAGCGAGGTAGAGGGGCACCAGGCATTGGCAAATTTCTGTTTTTTACCAAAAACAATGTACAGACCCTTTCGCCTTCACTCTGTGGTCCAGCTCACCCCAAAACCATCTGGATTGGGTTCAGGTCCGGTGACTGGAGGCCGGGTCATCTGGCCCAGCACCCATTACTCTCCTTATTGCTCAAATAGCCCTTACACAGCCTGGGTGTGAATCTACAATCAATAGTCAAAAGAAAGGAAACTCATTGAATGAGAAAGTGTGTCCAAACTTTTGATCTGTACCATATGTCAGGTCAGCTCTCCCCACTATAATACACAAAATATTGTCCCTCGTGTCACTTGCATGTAGTTGTACTTGTAAGGAACGGGCTTTAATAGTTTTTAAAGCACTGTACTGTAGGTTAATGCAATAGTCCTTTTAAGACAGTCATCAATGTTTCTCACCTGAAGTCACACAGCAGTTGATGCAATGCGTCGGCATGCAGACAATGAGTGAGGAAGTGAAAATAATCCTTTTGAGAAGTGCGGCTTTCTATTGCGACATCAGTGCTCCGGTTGCTCCCATCTGCTGACATCACTGGGAATTTTAGCAGTAAAACTGGAAGGAGTGGATCCAGGAGATAATGGGCTGAGCCTGGTGACTGTTGAATCTACAGAGGGAAAATGCACCTGTTCTGACTGTGAATGCCAAGACCTTACACGGCGTCACTGTCTGCATTTAATAACCATCTAAAAATAAAAGCCATTTAAATAAAGACAGTAAAACACTTTTATTTTAGATTAAATAGTCAACTTGTACACATCCTGGACTAATTCTTAATTACAAATAAAATAGACATGATGACCACATATTATGTCCCAAGAAAATAGGTCAACATGTAGAAATCCAATTTGTGTTTGCAGTGATGCGGTCTCTGTATCAGACTGTTGTGGTGAGAGGGAGCAGCGTTTTTAGTCAGAGCTGCATTGGACAGTTGTGGGCAGTGTCTGCAGTCAGATTCAGATTCAGTTTATTTGCCATTTGCAGTAAAAAAAAAAACACATTGGAATACATTAGCAAAAGTCACCAGTCGGAGACTGTATTGGACTGTTTTATCGTCAACTTTTTCCATTCAAATGACGCCAGCACCCATCCTGACATTTTTAACAACTCCTGAGAAAAACAAGTTTTTTTGTTGTTTTTTTCAGTTGTGAGGATTAAATACAACATCTATTTCAGCGGGATATTGACAGCAGTGATACTGTGGTATCTTGTGGAAAAGAAACCACTTTATCCCGCAGAAATAACAAAAGTGCTCAACCTTGGTAGACGTTGTAATAGTGAATATTCCTGCCTCTAGTTTCCTGCAACTCACCTTATGTAAACATAGCGTGAGTATCTATGAGGGCTGTACATTCCACAAACAATAATCAAGTTGCATCAGTGAGGAGTTTGATATTTCTTAACTTCCTCTGCTTCGGCCGGGACAACAGTCAGGCTATCAGCCCGTTCCATTATGCTTCATTGTAAATACATGCTTCACTGTGAAGACACAACATCTGCTCTACTCCAGAATGTTTGAAATTTACACAACTGAATGTTATACTTTTCACATTGCAGTCGATAACTCGGTTGACAGGACATCCTTTTGAATTATTTTATTGTTAAGTTTGTTGTGTTCATTGTTTCACTGTGCCAAATAATCTTTCACAGTGTTTAACTTCAGACTTTGGAGAAAGTAATTAAATGATAACTCAATTTTGTGGCAAAATCTAAGTTCTAAAACTAAATGGCCACAGATCATTTTTTTGATTTATAAAACTTTCTTGTAGTAGTCAGTTGTTTATGATCAGACAGTGTGTGTCTTTTTACACAGTATATTTGTTCCCCTCTAACTACTAAATTGGGGCAGATGGTTCCGGTTGCAAAATTGTTACGAACTTGTTCAAAGATGACACACACCTGGGATGGGTTGCATATTGAGTTGTCAATAATTTTATTTTCCACGATACATTTACATTGTTCAGTCACTAAACCCTGGAAGATTGGGTATTCACACATTTTTGGGAGGATATAGGTAAGAACTGTAGCACTGAAGAGAATGACAAACAAGGCGGGGGCTTGGGGCCGTGTACAGGCACAGAAGACATTTTATTTATGTTACAAAGAGACGACCAAATTATTGCTGTGTGTGCATGTGATATTTTACCATTGAGGACTCCTAGACAGTCCAATCAGCAGCTACCATGGTGCCAGTAGCTTTGGCCTTCAGAGAATTATGGTTTAACCACAGTTGATTCCAAAAATGTTTTTCTACATTCTGCTGTGGTCCTCATGATTCATTGTCATTTCAATCCAGACATAAAGCTTATTGTTATACTTTATTTAGAAAATAACTAAAGGAACTCATTGCCCAAAACCAAAAGTGATGCCCACTTAAAAGAATAACTTGACTTTAAGAAAAAATGGCCAAACTAATATGCTGCAGGTAATTGACACAGATACAGTAGTAGCATCACATGTTGTGAAGGAAATGAAATAAACTCCTCCTTCCCTCAGGTTCAGTAAAGAACAGTATTTCATCATCACAGCTCGTCACCATGCTACTTCCTTGAGCTGAGAGGGAAAATTCCCTTCAAGCGTATAAATACCAGGACGCAAGTGAAGAGAGCCAGAAAAGTACTGACAAACCAGGTAGTGTGACCTTATCCAGAGCTTCACCAACAATCTTTCATCTACTACAAGGTAATTAGACTTTTGTTGTTGTTGTTTTGTAATAGTTATAATTGATCATATACAATAGTAGCTGAGTTATTTATCGAACTGAGTTTATTTATTATTGTTTTCATCAGCAAGACAAATTATGGAATCGGAGATGATGTGCAATGCCAGCCATTTGCCGAGCCCTGTGACCTTGGAGATTTCCCATCATCCTCTGACCATGAGGCGGATGGTGAACCTGGTCATTGCCATGGAGCGCATCAAGAGCAGTGTGGCCCAGTCCTTTCTGAGCCCTGACTTCAGAGACCAGGACTTTCTCAGCATCATGCTGGAAAGCTTAGTAGAAGGTAAGATAAATATAGCCCCTGCCACTGAGCACACACCCCTATTTCAGCGCTAATGATTAATTATAATTAATGTTCTTTTTTTTTATGACAGAAAGATTTGTATCGGAATTGTTAGCAGCACAACCTGAACAGAAGTTCACATTAGTGCCAGAGGTGGGGCCTCAGTGCTACAGTGTGGAAGACATGCAAAAGAGAGACCTTGTTCTTGTGACAGAGAGCATGAAGCTCCATGCAGTCATGCTGCAGGCAGGCAGTAGCAGCTACAAAGGTAAACATGCTATAGAAATACAAAACTTCATACGGTGCAAACTTCTCTATTCAATTTATCATTCCATAACTTGTATATATTTACTAAAGAGGTCCACTGTTTTTCTTCTTCTTAAGTTAACCTGAACATGTTGAGATATCGACCACCTGTTCCAAGTACTGAGCAACCAGTGGCCTTGGGCATCAGAGGCACGCAGTACTATCTGTCCTGTTACATGGATGGAGAGGAGGCCAGCCTGCACGTGGAGGTAAACCCAATTCATATGACATGTGAAACTGTAATCGTATACCGTCAGTGAGGTTATTTAGAGGTTTTGACTCACATATATCCTATTTTCAGACTGTGTCAAACACTGACCTACTTTCAAGCATCAGCGAAAACAGTGACATGGCACGTTTCATTTTCTACAAGCACGTAACTGGTCAGAACGTGACCACGCTGCGCTCTGCACGTTTCCCTGAGTGGTACATCAGCACCAAGGAGGAGGACAATGAGGCTGTCTACATGTGTAAGGAGGCCTCCAGCAGCAGCACCTTCACCATCCAGCCAGTTAGTTAGACATTCAGAACTACACTCATCAGAAGCACTACTGCTGCAATAGCAGCAACTTTGTTGGGTATTTTCTGTTATTATTATTTCATGTTCTGCTACAGAATAGCAAATTGCATTTTCCCACAAGGGTCACCATTTCACTGTAAACAGTGCATGTATATTTTATTTTTTGTACCTAATATTATTTATGTATTTATTTATTTGTTTGTTAATTTATTCAATTATAATATCATGCTTTTGTTGAGTTCAACAAACTCAATTCTAAATAAAGCTTAAACAACAAAAATATTGCATTGTCTGTTTTTTAAAATTATTATTATATTTAACAGAATCCATTGTTTTACCCTAATTATTGTTTAGAAAATGGCAATATTCTGCTGCAGCTATCCAATGTATACATTGGACATATTTGTACATATTTGTGTACAATGTAAACCAGTTTAAAGAATATACGCAAAGGCACCTGAAAAGCCCCCATTGTGCAAAGAATGGGATCATGAAATAACATGATATTTATCATGTTATTTCATGAAAGTATCATGAAATAACATGATACCAGCGAGAGAAAAAACACACTCACAAGTGAACCTAACAAGCTTTCGTACGTACATATTGACGAAAATTCAAATATAAATAAAAAAAAGTATAATAAAGAAATGGAAAGTCAAAAATAGGAATGACTGGACGGAATCTCAGTCAGAACATGATCCAAAACAAACAATCTGGTACAAATAAATGGCCTTTTGACCTTTTCACGGGGGGGAGATTCATAGTTTACTACAAACCAAATTATATTTACATTGGCGGAGATAAAAATAAATAAATCTAAAATGTCATGTAAAGTTTATCCAAGCGTCCTGTAAAAGTTAAGTTTTGAAAAATAAAAACGTGTTATGTTTCGCACATTTGTAGGAAAAAGCCTGCGACGCATTGGTTTGGGAGCTGATCAGATCCATGGAGCTGATTGACTCCGATATTATAATAGATTCATGATTGGCTCCTACGGTCTGAGCTTGTTTGTCACCCTTTACCATTGCGCATGCGTGGTCAGTTGAATTTTGAAAAAAATGTGTCCAATAGGAATGAGGCAGAAGCCCCGGTTTTTTCAAAACAAACCCGTCTTCATGGTCTGTGGAGTAAACAGCGATTATAAACTCCTCTTCTACCCTCGAAAATCATGGCGGCACTAGAAAATAGCGCATTGACCAGGAAAGGTACGCAAACACGTATTTACCGACAATTGTGAATTAACCTACGCGTAGGTTTACCGTGAACTCCTAGTTAGCTGTTTAGGTGCATAATAGCTCAATGCGTGGATGCTAGCATGTATGCTAACGCCAGCTGCAAACATACAACATGCTATGCATTTAACTAACGTAGTACTCTACAAGCTAACTACTACGCAGTAACGTTAGTAAATGTTCACGTTTGACTTGGGTTCATATGTAGCTATGTGATAAACTAAAATTCTAAAGAATGTAACCAAATCAGTTAGTTAGCTATTATGTAAAACATCTGCCAATCATTTCCCCATTTTATTTAGAAAGAAAGCCCCCCTGTTCTCTGGTCTGATCTGTGGCTGCTGCTTCAACAGTTTAACTCTGATGTGACAAGAAACATTGTCTAGCTTTAAGTGATACATGAACCTAAACTTATTCAGTTAAAATGCCATTGAAATAATGTAATTAACTCAGAAGTTACTCCATAACTCTGAGTTGGTTCAAACAGAATGGCTTGATAATAATAAATGATTACTTGGATTTTGATTTACAGAGATATTTCACTAGGTGGCAGTGTATGCGTTTGGATAATTATCACTTACTGACTACCCAACCAAACTGTGATGTAGTTTTTATTGTGCCACAAATTCGCATTAATTCAACTTGATCAAGTTCACTTTTGGGAAATAACTTGAAACCATTCATTTGAGTTGGTGCTCCTCAATCAGCTATTTATTTACATTTCAGCCAAACTGAACTTTAACATTTCCAGTTCTCTTTACAACTCCATATCCTGGAAAACATGACAGATAACTTGAGTGGTATTTTAACGTAAAATAATTGTCTGTTTTTGTTATTTTATTATTCATCATTGGCATCATGTGGTGATTGTTGCACTGAGTTCAAGAGTCATATTCTAATATTTACATGCTAATGTTCTTTGCACCTGTTGTTTAGCACCTGCATTGAAACACTGAGTCCCTAAGAGTCATTTTAGTGATTACATAATTTAGCATGTTAACTCAAATGATTTTTTAAAACTACATTTACTCCTGTGGACTCACCACCTGCAGAGGATCAGTGAGGGGCTGGTGCTATGAGACTTGGGTGGCATCTCTGATTGCCCCTGACCCAGAGATGGATTAAAGGGTAGAAAATGGATGGATGGATGGATGATTAATGATTGAAATAGGGCTGGGAAGTTGTTTGTGTAAACTGATATTCTGATTTACATTTGTTTTTATGCAGAGATACGTCGACAAAAGTTAATGGAATTCCTGGCTGCAAAAAAAAACCTGTCTCTACCCAGCAAAATGTAAGTCTTATATAGAATATGGTAAAAACAAACACTGAATATGAAGCATGAAATGTAAGAAGATTAAGAAGTCTTGGGCCCCATATATCATCTAAATGTTGCTTTAAAGCTACCCTGTGTGTTTTACAGTCGCTTCATAAGATAAAACATGTTAACTAATAACAAATGTGACCTTTTTAAGAATATTGACCTCCACCATGTTTTTTAAATTGTTTTCATACGCTTAGAATTCAACTATATGTCCATGAGAGGAGTCTTCTCTGTGTCAATGCGGCACCTTGAAAAACTGGTTGATAAGGGACAAAAAGGATGCGAAAATCGCGTTTTCGTTTCTACTGATATCGTTGCTTTCAATCAAAGTTTATTTGTATTTGTTTCACCGTACCTTCACAAGTTTGAAGAAGGAACCATGGAAGACCCATGGATCTATAATAATAACTGGATAGGGTATTACTAGCTTATAGCTGTCCCACCCATGGGGACAGGGAGCGCCCGTGGTACTGCAGACTAAATTCACGTGGGCTACCCAGAAAAAAGTCCCATAGAACTCGATGTCAACTAAAACAGATCGACCTCAGCTGACAGAGAACCTACAGCTTTCATAAAGATCAGATTTTGTGGGGATTTTTGTGTCACTCCCTTGTCATCCTGAACTTTTTTTCTTCTTAAATCCTTCTGTTTTCTTTAAATCCACACTTTACAGCCACAAACTCTACTCGTTTCCTTCCCGCTCTGGCTCCGCTCTACCACTGCTCTGATCAGCAACTCTGATTGGTCAGAACGCAGCCGAGCCCCTCTGTGCACGTGCATGAGAGCCACACTCGTATTTGGGGCAACACATGGGAGCTCATCCACTGCACAGAACCGGAAGGACCAGACGATGCCCAAATATAGCAGAGTTCCGCTAATCTTTCGGTCCCTGTGAAGTCCCATGTGCTACTGAGCACAAGCCATTCATTGAATACGCCGCCATCTTGGATCACCGGGGCTTGGGGAGACCACAGTTACTGTATATAAAAGAACCATGGAGGACCACGGTTATTTAAAACAACCCACACAACAATCTTTTCGAAAAATAATAATGCAAAAGTCCGTCGTCATAGCAGCAAAGAGTCCACATCGCAAACCACACGCACTGAAAGACAGCATTAACACAACCGGAGGCACTTTGTGTAGTTTGTACACAACAGACTCACACGTGAACAATACGTAACTTTTTCACACTAACAATAATGAGAACGAGGCAGAATCTGCAACACAGTCTCAGGATGTTCTGACCTGATCTGAGCGCAGTCCAACTACTGTCACAGGTTTCAACTAACTTATTCAGGGACAAGCCTCAAATAAAACACACAGAATCCCCACAAAACGATCGCCAGAATATTTTATCAGCAGCCTGAGTGAATGTTGTGTTTTCTTACCGTGATGCAGATAGGGCTAAAACTAAAATGAGCTAAAACTAAAATGAGCTTTCAGCCATGTTCTGCCGTGGCTGTGTATATGTCCTGCTTCTCCGATTATCGTAGTTTTAAGCCCCCGAAGATGTTAATCCTCCATGTGTCTCTTCTCTTCACACCTCATTTGTAAAACGATGTACTATCCATGGTAGAGCCTCAGTGTAGCGCGTGCCGCTTCAGAACGCGGTCTTGTTTACATGTCGCCTCCACGCGACTGTCAAGTGCCTGAGACGTTTGGAGAGATCCTGTCATTTATCAAACTAAAGTATTCTTTCCTTGGCAGTCTGGTGAATGACTCCGAGTTGAGGAGCACTGTCAAAGACACATTTTCTCTCAAAGGCTTCCGTAGTACCTTGGACTGCAATATAAGGTCTCAACGCTAGATGGCACTAAAATTACACAGTGTACCTTTTTAAGGGTGTCCCATTTAAAAATAAGCAATGTCACTGAAAGTCATGAACTGAAATGATTGAAAAAAATGTTTTCCAGACAAAATATGGGTAAAGATGAGGCTGTGAAGAGTGAAAGATCCGTTTCTACTGTAAGTAATTCTTTGTTTTATTGACTGATGCCGCACGTTATTTTTAATATATCAAACTATTCATTATCTTTGTTCATATCCAGGTCCGCTATGACAAAGAGAACAAGATTCCTGTTCTTAAAAGGGATATTAAAGTGAAAACTGTCCAAGCTACTGTGGTCAAAAAACCGCTGGGTCTTACAAACTCAATCAATAAAACGTCTGGCAACGTCTGTGCAAAGCAGAACAGTAAAAATACAACAAGTAAAGATGCAAAAATACCAAATAAATTGCAGACTTTCACTAAAACATACACAATTGTTAACTCCAAAGGCCCAATGAATGCAGCAAGTGAAAAGCGGTCACTCTCAAGAGCATCCTCTGGTAGCAAGGCTTCATCAAAGGCCCGGTCTGATTTTCCTGCTGCTAAAGCGGTGAAGAATGCAACCACAAATGCTGCCTCTGCTAGTATGGACAAGGCCGAAAAGGGTAGGTTGATCCATGGGCCCATAATCAAGACTCGGACAGGACTGGTGCCGGCAGTTATTCAACCAAGGCAGTCTCTGTCCGTTTCTGCTGCCCATGCCCCCAGAGCATCTACCTACAAAGTACTACCCAAGACCTCATCACATAGATCAGTTTCACAACCGCTTGTCAGGCCCTTGGGGAAAAAGACATTCACGATTACTCTAAAAGCTCCAAGTGAGAGATTGGCGACAATGACTGTAAAAAAGCCAAATCAAACACAGTGTCGTCCTTCCGCTTCAAAATCAAAAATAGTCCAGTCATATTCGAGCTGTCCTTCAAAATCTCTAAAGCCAGACTCAAAGGCGCAAACTACAAAGATAAATGTAGGCTGTCCCAAATCTACAGTGGATAAGTCGGGCCTCATGAAGCCTTCGACCTACAAGAATGCAAAACGGGATGATTTCAGAGTAAACAAAGTGACTACAGCCAATACTCACAAAGGGAAAACCAATATCTCAGTAGATATTCAAAACAAGAAAAGTGCTCCTCTTATCGAACCCATACAAACACACGTTGCTCCTAAAGAAAAGAAAAGGCCCACAGTTTCACTTACTGCTCCGCAACCATCCAGAACCCAGAATCTCACCAGAAAGCCCACCCACATCAAGACCCCAGAGAAAAGAGGAGCTCCTCCATCTTCTACTAAGCCACTCACTGCTGCCCAGGATCGCATGTAAGTTTAGTTAAGTTATGTAAGTATGTGCTAGGCTATTATCCAAATGTCTGTATCAGATAGAAGTCTCAGTTGCTGCTGTTTCATATATCAATCCTTTTAACATAATCAAAAAAAGGTGCCTAGAATATTTTGGTTTTGCAGTGTCACTACAAGAGAACAGACAATCTACTTATTTGTGTTTGTAGAAAAAAGCTCCAGGAGTGGCGGGCGTCGAGGGGCATTTCATACAAGCGTCCGCCAATGTTTGTGAAGGGCCAGGCCAGGCACAGTATCACTGAACCTCAGCCATTCTGGTCCAGCATTGGGGAGGAGGATGAAGCGCACTCTCTGATCTGTGCTGTGGACCGCTCGCTGGCAGACTGCGTTAAACTCTTGGGAGAGGTACGATGACTTATTACTGTCTTGGATGAACTTTGTAGCTATTACTGTTTCAATAATATTTGTGCATTTATACCCAGATTTGTGTGTGTAAAAAAAAAAAAAAAGTGTCTGTGTGTAAAAAAACGGTAAACTTTTTATTTTTTACACCCACAGATCTAGTTACCCACACACAAATCTTGTTATGCACACACAAATCTATTTACACACGCTCAAATATATGTTTTTTACGCACACAAATCTGGTTGCGCACACACAAATATTGTTGAAACAATAATTGCTCCATAATGAACGCAATAGAAGAAACAAGTTTAGCTAGATTGACTTTCGGGCATTGAACTTCATGACTGCATCGCATAACAATTCTCTGCGTGTTTAAGAAGGTGTGACTTTTGATATTCTGCAGTAATGTTTATACAGCTGTTTATAACACAGATTGAGGAATGATCTCATGTAAAGCTAAACCAAATGTTCACTAGTCAGTTTTCCCAGACACCCAGTTTACAACTATTATAATTCAGCTATTTATTAGATCCCCACATGTGTCTTGTTTTACAGAAGTCACCCGGTCTCATCTGTTTGCGTTGGCATCAACACCAGACCCTTGTGTTCAGAAAAACGCCTCTGGTGTAGTATGGCGGAACTACAAGGGTCTGGCAAGATTCAGGCTATTAACAAAAACCATCACTTTCAAAAATCGTTACTCAACAGTCCTCTCCTGTGCTCCAGGCTTTACATTCTGGTCCTTCATCAACAATAACAATTTTGCTTATCTAATACTAATGATGCATCTGTTTTATATAGTGCTTTTTTGGACACTCAAAGACGCTTTACATGTTACTATTCATTCACTCCTCAAACTGGGTGGTGGTAAACTACTACTGTAGCCACAGCTGCCCTGGGGTACACTGACAGAAACAAGGCAACCAGTATGTGCCATCGGCCCCTCCACCCACCAGACTCATTCTAGGCAATGGGTGTGAAGTGTCTTGCCTAAGGACACAATGGCAGTTTGGCACTTTACAGCCGCAGCCGCCCCACTGTGGCATTAGGTGTTCCCAGAGGTTAAGTGTCTTGCCAAGGACACAACGACAGCATACAGTGGGAGTTGATGGTGAAAGTCTTGAGGTGGGCTTGAACCCTCAACCTTCTGGCTCAAAGGCCAATGCTCTACTAACTGAGCTACTGTCACCCCATATTTGAGGAAATGTGATTTTTGCAATTGAATTGTGTTAACACCTGGATGTGAGGAAAACATGTTAAATGTTGCATTTTAAGTTATTCTTGTTGACTGACCAAACAGTCCTCATTTACCTGTACAATCAAATGTATACTGTTAACATTTCTGATTTACAGTGGCATCATTTGTGTCATACAAAATCTTTTTGTACCACAGGGCTGCCCGGCTGACCAAGTGAAAGAAGTGCTCACACGACTTCCCGTGGTTTCCCATAAATTTTCTAAATATTGGATTTGCCAAGCTCTTCTGATGGAGAAGGAAGGAAATCTGGATGTTCTACCCATGTTTGAGAAAGCAGTTGGACTTGTTTTGGAGGTGAGATTAGATCTTATCCTTGAAGTTCTTGCGTCATGTGAAATCATATTGAGAAGTAATAAACTGGTTTGTACACATGCTATAAATGCTTAACCTTGTTTTGTTGATTCACAGCCTGTAGATGACCTGCGCACAGTGGTGTTTGAGATTTTGAAGAAAAAGGATGAAATCCAAGGTGCTGTAAAGAACCAGTTTGTTTGTCAAGTCTTTTATATGTGGTCTGGTGCATTGAAACACTGACTGACCCCTTTCTTTTTGGTTTTAAATTTAGAGAGCTTTAAAGAAACAGAACCAACTGCATATTCAACTGAAATCTCGCACAATGTAGTGACGACTCCAAAACCTGGCAGAGCTCTGATTTGTGCTGAGAAAGGAAATTCATCCGTGGTGAAATACAAGATTACTGCTACTCCAGGGTAACATTTATTTCATTCATCATTTCTTGTCGTAACAATGGCTCAACCATGTGCCGCCGAGTGTGTACAGGTCACCTCCAAATAATCAACCTAATCCTGGCCCTACAAATATGCAGAATAATACAAGTAAAAGATTTGTGTCTGGTTTCTCCTTGCAGTGGTCCCCCAAGTCAGCGCAGGGACTCGACGGTGGTTAACGGACAGGAAGTTCGCTTCTTTACTCCCGTGCGGCGGTCTGTTCGTATCGAAAGGGCAGCTCTGAGGTACCCCGTGTCTCTCAAAGACCACGACCTTTGCGTGGCTTCTTACAATGATCTGATGGCTGAGGAGGAGGAGAAGGAGAACGCCCAGCAAACGCCGTCTGAAGGCTCAGCGGTGGCACAAAACTCTCCCATGTACATTTACAGAGCGAACGAGGCCCTGAACGATAAAGTCTTTGTGGAATATGTGGGCAGTGATGAATAGCATGAACTACCTGTGCCTTTACCCCTGGAAAAGGCACAATATCTGTACAGTATTCTTAGTGTATTTTGTACGTTTTGGTTTTTGAGGTTTCTTGTTAATTTGTAATAAGTATACAAAAGAACTGGTGTCTTACAAGTACTATCAAGTGTATATATTGTTGTCAAGTATTTTCTATTCCTTTCAACTGAATTTGAACTGCTAGGTACCTAATTTTTCACACACTAAAAAATTGACTATAATAAAATGTATCTCACTGTTTCTCACTGTCCTAAAAGTCTGTTCTGCACCTAGTTTTCACATGCATGTATGTTTGGCCTCGGTCACATCTTTATATCAGCTTTTACCAGAAAAGTGAAAATGAGGATCATCCCCTCACCCAAATGGCAACCCCTGTTTATTAATAGATGAGGACTACAGCCTTTTAAGATTGCAGCCTTGCTACAGTTGCCGCCTTAGATGTGATGACCCCATGGATCTATTATGTTAACTGGATAGGGTATTACTAGCTTGTAGCTGAATAACTCATGTGCTCAGAGGATTCTCGCGGTACTGCAGACTGAACCAGACTAAATTCACGTGGGCTACCCAGAAATTTTCCCCATAGAACTCAATGCATATTAAAACAGCTCGACCTCAGCTGACAGACAACCTACAGCTTTAATAAAGGTCGGATTTTGTGGGGATTTTAGTGTCCCTTGTCATCCTGAACTTTTTTTCTTAAATCCTTTGGTTTTGTTTAAATCCACACTTTAGTGCCACAAACTCTACTCCTCTGGCTCTCGCTCTAACTCCCGCTCTGATGAACTGCTCTGATTGGTCAGAGCGCGGCCGAGCCCCTCTGTGCACGTGCGTGAGACCCACACACGCGTGTTTGGCGCAACGCATTATGGGAGATCATCCAGTGCGCAGAACCGGGAGGACCACACGATGCCCAAATACAGGCAAGTTTCCCATAGATCTTTGCGAGTTTCCCATAGATCTTTGCGAGTTTCAGGCAACTTCCGCTAATCTTTCAGCCCCCATGCCGTCACAAAGCGCCACTGAGCACAACCATTCATTTGAATAGGGCGCCATCTTGGATCGCCGGGGCTTGGATGACCCTAGGTCTGTATTTGAACAAATGCATTCATTGATTATTTTGTGCTGTTTATTTCGGTTTTCATTCATGACTGTAACTTCTGGCCTCTTAAATATTTGAGAAGCCTTTGAAACGTTATTGCATCACGGCGCGCTTCTCTTTAAAACCTGTTACACCGCTCTTCTACAGCTCATCAGCATCTCACCTCAAACTCATTAACCATGTTTTTGTGAAGTGTTAGTGTTAAACGATTTCAATCTGTACTCCAGGACACAACGTAGTTGGCTGACTTACCGGCTGCAATTTCATCCATGCACTGTTGGATTAATCACGTTTTTATTTTATTCTAATTAATGTTGGAGAGTGAGATATCAATCATTTCTGAAGTCTCACAAAAAATGCTTCAACCACGTTCGACCCCATCTGAGCGCGAAGTCCTTATAATGGAATTTCTGTCCTTGTACGATGATGACAAAACGTCAAACAGCATTAGTATGATGATTATATTACAATCTATATTAAGTTTAGAGGTCAATCAGTTCTCTACAACTTGTGCATCACGTTTTGTAATAAAGGGGAGCCATCACAGATGCTACACAAATGTGCAAAGACGTCCCTGAAGACTATGGAGCTATTACAGTACTTCCTGCTCTGGACAGAGCAGTCGCATTCTCTTGCTGCTCCTCGCTTCCTGCTTTTTAATCTCCTTTAATCATTGTTGCTTACATTTTTATTCCACAAAACACGGATTACTCTTTTTATAAACTTCAACACAAGACTTGTGGAATTTACCTAACTTACAGCATGTCGGGGGGACGGAAAAAAAGAACAAAACTTTGCAACGGCTGTTTTTCACTCAAACAGGAGCTAAAACTTCTTCAAGACTGAATGTTTGTGCTTGAATCAGAATTGGGGCTGAACACAACAATACCAGTGAAAGGAAATGGACCAAATGGACAGAACGTAAGTTATGATGACGCTATTTCATTTCCCAAAATCAACAGACAATTGCTAGAACACATATGGAGCCAAGCCCAAACAAGGCAAAGCTAATGATAACAAGAGTGTCATAATGCCACAGCAAAAATCTTTAATTACAAGGAACCGCCATTCACCACTTTTGGAAGATGAATCAGCAGTAGTCTCTCAGTCCCAGTCTCAGTCTCAGTCAAGGTCAAATGCAGCCGACTCGCTCTTTAACGGGGATTCTGTGATAAGTTATGTAAACATGCGTAATGTGAAAGTACACTCGGTGCACTCGGCCAAAGTGGATGAGATAAGGCGGTTGGCTCCGAGGCTTCTGTCTGAGACCGGCGGGGTAAAAAGATTGTTGATCCACGTGGGGGCAGTAGACGTCTATGACAACACAAGTGAAAAAAGTTGAAACGAGATTATTCTCTCTTATTGGACGACCTTGCAAAAATGGACGTAACAATTGTTATCAGTGGCCCACTACCAAATGTGGACGGCAAGCAAATGAAATTCAGTCGTCTGTATCAGCTAAATACTTCCCTACTCAACGAATGTTCACGCAGAGGACTTGACTTCATTGAGAATTTTAATCTGTTCTGGAGTAGGCATGAGCTTTTTGAAGGGAAGGCACGGTGGCTGAGTGGATAGCACTCTCGCCTCTCAGCAAGAATGTCCTGGGTTCGAATCCCGGTTGGACCAGGGCCTTTCTGAGTGGAGTTTGCATGTTCTCCTCGTGTCTGCGTAGGTTTCCTCCGGGTGCTCCGGTTTCCCCTACCACTAAAAATATGTAAAATAGGTTTGGCATGCGCCTCCTGTACTGGCACCCCCACTCCCAAAAATAACAATTGTAAACCGCTTTGAGACTCCGGTGTGCAGTGAAAAGGCGGTATATAAATAAAGATTACTTACTTTTGCCCTGAGACCTCAGCCTGCGCAGTGTGTGCAGCCATCGAAAGGGAGGAAGCCGACTCCAAAAGTCTCTGCACCTCCACCACCTCGAAGGATCTCAACACCATCACAGCCTCGAAGGATCCCAACACCTCCACTGTCATCAGAAGCAGCTGCATCATCACCAGTAGCAGCACCAGCAGCACGACCACCACCACCAACATCCTCATCCCCAGCCTGCTCCGAAGCAGTCACGCCTTCTTCATCTACAGCGCCTCTGAAGCCCCCATCCTCACCCCAGGCTACAGCAGACAGGCCTGTGCTGGAGTTTCCTCAACCACCTGCCCCTCCATCAAAGACTCCCTTGCCACCTCCCATGGACCTGTCTTGGGTCCCCCCTGCCACGTCCACTCCATCAAGAGAGAATGGGGACACTTCCCTTTGTTTTTCATCCCCGCCTTCACTGTTAGACCTACCTGAACACTCTGCAGGGCTAATAAAATCGTCGATGAAGACTATTCCTCTCACACCCATATTAGCTAGATCTAGAGTCCTGTCCAACATTCAAAACCACTCCCCATATGTACCTCCAAAACCACCTAGGGTTTCCAATTCACCTACAAAAACCACCTCAGCCAGTCCCTCCCCTAACCTCATGACCATTCCACCCCCACTTCCCCCTCGTTCAACATCCAAAACCTCTGCCTCAGCCCACCCCGGCCCTAACCCATCACCAAAAACCCCTCCACCTCCCTGCCCCCCTCGTTCAACACCCAAAAGCCCAGTGATGGGAATAACAGGTACTTTTTTCAGTAACGAGTAATCTAACTAATTACTTTGACAGTAACTATAACGCCGTTATCATTTCCGACATCCCGTTACTGCGCGTTACTCAAGACGCACAATGAACGTGTTGTCATGAGAGAAGGGAGGATAAGAAAACCTCTCAGCAATTATTGGCTGATGTAAATCATATTTCCTTTACAATCCACATGTCTACAGTTGAGAGGATTGCTCATAAATTGTGTTTTTGAAAAAAATATGGGTCTTAATCGCGCTCAACCACGGCTTGTATCACCGTGAGGCCTCAGAGGAGCGCATGTGAGCGCAGAAGTCGGCTGCATACAATTCCATCGATAAGCTCCTTGCTCTTCCTGGTTTATCTGCTAAGGACAGCAACAGGTTTGGCTAACATACATATAACACATTTTTACATAATCTAAAATGCACATAGGGTAATTTTTAAATGACTATAGGAATGATAAGAAAGAGAGGTGAAGTGTAAGACGGTTGATTTTAGAAATTGGATGCACTCGGCTGCAGCTAGCAAAACACAGGAGTTTATGGAGGACACACGCGTTTTGTTTTACTTTTTAAAACTCATTGGACTCATTTCCAAATGGAGGATTACATATCTACGCTCAAACCATTCACTGGATTTAAACAAGGAACTGGTCTGAACCGAAGTGGACTGTGCAGGTCATTTATAAGGTATAGCTATAAGGTAAGACCCATAACTCATAGTTTTGCGTTTTGTATGAACAAACAATGCGGGCATAAAACATATTTTGCTGTAGCCAAACAAATTGTCCACTTGATTTATATGATGTATATGTTCATCTGATTGGACTGAAGTCAGTGCTTCACCAGCCTCACCGCTCGTCACCGGTGTTTCCACATTCACAGTGGCGGGCTTTACAGCACAGTGAGAGATGAAGAGTGAACAGGACTTCAGCAGCAAAACAGCCTTTTCTAGATGGAAATATTGGCACTGTTAAAGGTAAAAATGCGCACGTCGGGTGCACATTATGTTCCAGAACAAAACGAAAAAGTAACGCAATAGTTACTTTTACTGGTAACTAGTTACTTTTATAGTGGAGTAACTCCGTTAGTAACTCAGTTACTTTTTGGGAGAAGTAACTAGTAACTATAACTAATTACTTTTTCAAAGTAACGTGCCCAACACTGCAAAAGCCACCCACCTCTCCATCCTCCTCCCCCGCCTTCCCCTTCCCCTCTTTTCTCTAAACACTAGGAAGCACAGGGTCTCTGCTTCGCAGCC